ATTTAACTTATTATGGGTAAATGGATCGTGAAATTATTGGGTTTTTAAACTACAATCATATATCAGATTTTCAATTGTAACAACATTTCCGGAATTTATCGGATGCGAGTTTCTTCTATGCTCTGGACGTTATTTCGGGACATGACTACTGAAACCCCGTTTAATACGTTTCCAACATTTGAAAGTTCAAAGTTACATAATTTAAAATTTATTTATTTATGGTAATATAAACTTTACACATCACGATTTTAATATAATAGATTATCGTTAGTGTTTGACTTTTTCATAAAAATTTCTGATATAATCACGTATCGATTGTGAAAAAATAATGCACGAAGTATACCTTCTCCAATAGTAATGTAAAATATCCTAAAAAAAATCGTAGCAAAATTGATTTCACATTAAGATTCGGATCAATATTAATTCAGCAAAATATTTATTCCGTTTATTGAAATAATATATCAAACAGCAATCTACGAAAAAAAAGCAATCAATTATAATTTAGATACACATGATGAAATTATCCTAGTGCCTTTTCAATTTCTCATGGTGTTTTAAATATATCTATGCGAGTATGAACTTCGAATCGGGAGTCTTTTGCCCATCATATCGGGCAGTTTTATCCATATGATCCATAAATATAACCATCTCTTTTAATATATAGTGAAAATTATACAATATTTTTATCAAAATTTGCGTTTCACTTAATAAATTTGGTCTTGCATAATCGATAATGTTAAATTGTAACCTAAAAAATTTATTAGTAACCGAAATAAAAATAAAATAAATGATATAACGAAGTTATTTACATACCATGAAATTGTAAGAGAAACAGATTAACTTACCCATTGAAATATCTTTCATTAAAGTCATGTTTATATTTAAAATAGGAATTAAAGAAAGTATTTCCAATTTTCATTAGTCGAATTTTATCTTCTTCTATGTGAGTTGCATTTTTTGGTCTATTAGGCCCGTATGAAGTTTTTCCAAAAAAGAGCTCATGTCTAAATCTTCTGTCATTAATAATTTGGTGACTAGACATGTAACAATAAAAGTCTCCTTTTTTGCAGACCCCTCTCATATAAAGTAGATGATATTGTGCAATTGTCCCTATTTTATACGGAAAATAAGAGGAATTACTTTACTGATTTATAAAAAATTCTAGCATAATAATATACATACTACCATAAATAAAAATTTACCATTGATAGTAATCTATTGATATCATGAATAAAAATTTCAATTATTGGATTAATAATTTGGTGGTTCCATGTACTTTCAAAAATATCATTATTGTTTCTAGCACAAGACTTTCTAGATCGATAAGAATTACTTTAAAAAATTTTTTTTATTATGAATAAATAAGTTTAGCTCCAAACGCTTTACAATTAAACATACAGTATATTATTTTCATCTTATAAATATACGTACAAGTTATATAATAAGACTCGTATTGCACGGTATTTTCCTTGTGAGCTATATCATAAAATTACATGATATTCTATCATCATCATTCTCAATAATGCGTCGTATAAATTTTTCGTATTCTTCAGGAATCTTTTTTAATTTTATTCCTTTGTTGACATCATTCCACAATCCTCTTCCTATGAGATGAAATTTTAATTGTGTTGAAAAACGAAGATCAATGATTCCGGATAAAATAGAAACATTCTTTTTCAAATCCGCATAGCATATGATTTTACAAATATATTTGACAATTTCGTTAATTTGATATTCTTTTAGCTAAAAAGAGAAATAAAACGATCTTTGATAAAATTATAATTAGATCAAAATGTAACTTACGCTCTTTATGAAGTTTAATGCTCTTCTATAGTTCGTATTTTACCTTTTCAATATAATATCCTTTTATTTTTCGAGCATCTTCCCAAAATGGATAAACTTTTCTTCTCTATCTATTAAAAATTATAAAGCAACAAAAGAGTATTAATAAAATTTTTTAAGAATTGATTGATTTTACTATATGAAATAATATTATCATCAGGATTCCTTGGCCATTTTTTTTTTCTGATTTAATTTCATTTCTAACGCCACTAAGCGCAACTAACGCTTAGCGAAGAAATACTTAGGGGCTAAATTTTGAAAAGAACCAGATAAACGCTACTACACCTCAGTGAAGAAATATTCAAAAGGTTGCCTTTCAAAAGCTTTGCCTGACCTATTAAATGCTACTACACCTCAGTGAAGAAATATTTAAAGGTTTGACAAAATTATTTCAGAAAAAGATTGGCTTTGTTTAACCTATTAAACGCTACTACACCTCAGTGAAGAAATATTTAAAGGTTTCGACAAACAAAATTCATCACAGATATTATTTCTATAGTAATGTGTGTTATTGTATTATTCTTACCATAATGTCTGTTATACTCCTTCATATGAATCGAGAAAAACTTATATAGAGTAAAGATTAACATGCCTGAAAGCAAAACTATATAGTATAAATATGGATATCCTTATGTCAAGAAAATCCCGAGCTTCCGGCCAAAAAAATATGAGTCGTAGTATCTCAAAAATTTCTTATATATCTAACATCAACAATTGTCCTTTAAGTACTGAAAACTTTACTTAAAGGTCGAAAATTAGTTATCATAGTAAATTTTTGGTTTTGTTTTTGTTTACAATTTCTTATGTTTTTCGCGTTTGTTTTGTTGCATGAGGTTCTGTGATTTTATTGGACGATATAAATAAATGCTTTTTAGGAAGTCACATTATTTATTCACTAAATAATTTTGATTGGAGCAGGAAGACCGTCCCAAATATGAAAACACTGATTGACTTAGGACTGTCGATTACAGCCAATCAAAATCTACAGGTAAATATGTCACATGTTGATTAGCCAATCAAAGCGTGAATTTTAAAAGACCAAAAATTTAATGAATCGAAGTGAAAGTTAAAAAAAATCAAAATTAAATTATTATATTTAAAGTTCAATAAAATGCTACCAGATGTCTTTATTGATTTGAATGATTTGCTACCATTCTACTACTAGCATTAACAAAATTGTTATACAATATCTTAGATATTCAACAATATATCGAATTTAAATTCTAAATATTTTGTACCATTTCTTATTAAACATCATCTAATAATTTAAAATCTCTGTGATTATGCATTGTCAATGACCATTGCATATTTGTGTAACTGTTTCATGTATCACGTATTGTTATTGGTCACTTACGTGTCACAACTGACTAGCAGATCGTATTCTCTTCGTAACATTGAATGTTTAGAATCTACATACACTTATTCCTAGACTCTACTTTTACTACAACCTTCGCATCTATATATCTACTATCCAAATAATACTATCTAATAATTTAAAATCTCTATAATTATATATTGTCAATGACCATTGCATATTTGTGTAACTGTTTCATGTATCATGTATTGTTATTGGTCACTTACACATCGCAACTGACTAGCAGATCATATTCTCTTCGTAATATCGAATGTCTAGAATCTACACGCACTTATTCCTAGACTCTACTTTTATTATTACCTTTGCATCTATATATCTACTATCTAAATAATACTATTCAATAGGAAAAACACTGAACATTATATTATTTTTTATTGTATAAAGATTTAATAGCCCATTAAGTTAATCTTTTCTTTGCCCTTTATTTATAGTGAACAACTTAAGCAAACTCCTTTGAAGACCAACTTTTATGCTATTTCTGAATAACAGTTTTACTATATTACAAATATTTACTTTATTATTCATTAGTTTTAGAGTTTTAGTTAATTTTTAAACTAGACTTTAGCTTTTTTTATTATTATTATAGATTATAGATTATGAATACTGGCAATACTGAAACTTCAAGAGAACAACAACTAAATATAAGAAGAGAAGCTGCTGAGCATCGCAATGCCAACATGACAACAACTCAGAGAGAAAATAAAAAAAGGCAATTTAGAGAATCACAAGAACGTACACAAAAGGCTGCATGTATAACACAAACTAACTAACAATGAGCATATAAACTTCATGACTATGACATGCTGAATTTGCCTGCTACTTTCTTTCTAAATAATGATTCTCTTCTGACCCAACAATTTAGTCACCATGAAATGCTAAATTCGCCTCTACTTTCTTGATTAATAGTGATTCTCTTCCGACTCAACAATTTAGTAGAGAACCTTTAGATATTAATATCTCTACGCTTGCTTTAGTTAATAGAAATAGCTTTGTTCCAAAGACATGTATTTATCCTTTCATGTCATATAAGTTACAATGACATACTTTAGGAAAAATGAATTATTCATATTCTTATTGCAGTGCTTTGAAATGGATTGATGAAAGATGTGCAGCTTTATCTAAGTGTATGCCCATTTTTAGTACCTGCTGTGCACATGGAAAAGTTCTGCTTCCACTGCTCCAAGAACCTCCAGCGTTATTAAAAGAACTTCTTATGAATAATGATCCACATTCACGAGAATTTAAGCAAAATATAAGAGCTTATAATTCTGCTTTAGCTTTTACATCTGTAGGTGCAAAAATAGATGAAAATGTTACTAGAACGTGAGGCACTTATACATACCATATACACTGTGAAATGTATCACCAAATTGGCTCGCTTCTTCCTCAGTCTTCTACATCTTCACCTCTTTTTGTGCAGATGTATATTTACGACACAGATAATGAAGCACAAAATAGACATAATTTATGCCTTCGTTAAATCCAGGTATTCTTTTTGAGCTTCAAAATATAGTTCATAGTATTAACCCATACGTTTGAGTTTTTCAACAAGCAGGTCAAATATTATAACAAAATCTAGCTCAATCTTTAAAGATAGTAATTAAAGATTTTAGAACAACAGATTCATAGCATTATAATGTTCCGAATGCTTCAGAGATCGCAGCTATAATAGTGGGTGACAACTATAGTAAGGCTGGATCATCTAACTGAGATATTATTTTTCATTCACATTTAAAAGGTTTATAACACATCTCTGAATTACATAGAGCATATATTTCATTACATTATGTTCTTCTTTTTCCAAGAAGTGAAGATGAATGGCATCTGGGAATTCCAATTCGTGATGATGCATCAATATTTTCTTTACATTAGGAGCAACAAGAATTAGATGATGATGATATTAATCAAAAAACTGTCACTATAATACAGTATTATTCCTATCGACTTCAAGTAGGCAGATTTAATGAAAGAATAAATATTCATCTTTTTGGACATCTTTTTCAACAGTATATAGTGGATACTTATACAAATGTTAAGCAAAAACGACTTGGCTATTTGTGGCATAATCAAAAAAAGATTCATGCAGAGCTTTATAATAGTTTGCACAATGCTATGGCTGTGCAAGATGAAATATATCAAAATTTATCTATGACAAATATAGGTAAGAGAATTATTCTTCCATCGAGCTTCACAGAAGGACTTTGTTAAATGCATTAGCTATATCAAGATGCAATGTGTATTGTATGTATGATGGGTAAGCCTGATCTTTTTATTACATTTACATGTAATTTGACTAGGCCTGAAATTACTGCCAAGCTTCTTTATAACCAAACTGCATCAGATTGACCTGATTTAGTAACCAGAGTTTTTAAGATGAAGCTGAAAGCTCTACTCGATGATATTATTAAAAATAGCATTTTTGGGAAAGTTGTGGCACATATTCATGTTATTGAATTTCAAAAACATGGTCTTTTCCATTCCCACATACTAATTATTCTTGCATCAGATGACAAGCCTAAAACAGTTGAGGATTACAATAGCATTGTGTCAGCCAAAATTCCTGATAAGAATATTTATACGGCAGCATATGAAACTATTACATGAACTATAATGCATGGTCCATATGGTTTTTCATTTCCGGATGCTCCATGTATGAAAGACAGAAAATGTTCGAAAAGATATTCTTGAAGCTTCTGTGAATTTACAACCCAAAATGAAGATGGATATCCCATGTATAGTCACCCTAATGATGGACAAACTGTAGAGATTAGAGGTGTGCAGTTAGATAATCGATAGGTAGTATTTCATAATCTTTATCTTACTACAAAGTATGATGTGCATATCAATGTTGAAGTTTGTTCTTCTATATCAGCAGTTAAGTATCTTTTTAAGTATGTTTACAAAGATCATGATTGAGTAACATTAGAAATCAGAAGACCAAATGAAGTGGAAATGTCACAAAGACGAAATTTGGAACAAAATGAAATTTGCCAATATATAGATGCACGTTATGTTTTGGCATCTGAGGCTACTTGGAGGTTATTTTATTATAAACTACATGATGAAAAACCTAATATTATGAGGCTTCAGATTCATCTTTCAGGACAGCATATGGTAATTTTTCAAGATAATGAAAATTTGGAAGAAGTACTAAAGTGTGAAACTATGGTGAAAACAATGTTGACTGCATGGTTTGAAGCAAATCAAAGATTTCCTGAAGCACATGAATTAACTTATGGCAATTTTCCTACCAGCTAGGTATATGATAAAAGAAAAAGAGAATGGAAACCAAGACAAAGAGAGAATACAATCAGACGCATGTATTTTGTACATCCTAGAGCAGGAGAGCATTATTACTTACGAATGCTATTAAATACTATGCGTGAAGCAACCTCTTTTGAAAATCTTAGAACTATTAATGGAGTTATATATGCTACATTTAAAAATACCTGTAGTGCTTTGAGCTTGCTTCAAGATAATTATGATTGAGATCAATGTTTGAAAGAAGCCAAAGAACTACAATCCGGTACACAGCTGCATCGATTATTTGCTACCATTCTTCTTTTTTGCCATCCAACATGACCTGAGTTCCTCTGGGACAAATATATAACAGCCTTTTGTGATGATCTTTTGTTTCAAGCTAATTAAGAATCAGGTAACACTAATGCATTTATGATCAATGATACTAACATACAAAATTGGGCATTGCATCATTTAGAATCGATTTTACTTAGACACAGAATGAACCTCAACAATTTTCCGAATATGCCAATTCCCATACCACTTCCTGAAGAATCAAGTTGACATATAAATTTGGTTTCAGAGGAACTTCAGTATGATGCAGAAATTCTTAACAATAGAGTTAAAGAGGTTTGTTTACATTTAAACGATAAACAAAAAGTTATTTTTAACATTATAATTTCTGCAGTAGAAAATAGGCATAGTGAAGTAATTTTTATAGACAGTCCAGGTGGCACTGGAAAGATATTTTTATATGGTGTACTGCTAGATAAAGTTCGATCCTGCAGAAAGATTGCACTTGCAGTAGCCTCTTCCAGTATTGCTTTCTTTCTCTTGGATGGAGGTTATACAGCACATTCTCGATTCAAGATTTCAATTAATTTGGACGAAAATTCTACATGCAATATCACTCATAGGACAGATTTGGCAATTTTACTACAAAAATCTGCTCTTATTATTTGGGATAAAGTACCTATAATGAAACGACATGTATTTGAAGCCTTCGATCGCACTCTAAGAGATCTAATGAAGGCGATAGACCCTATTTTGGAGCATCAACCTTTTGGGGATAAGATTGTTGTATTTGGAGGTAATTTCAGGCAGATTTTACCTGTTGTTTCTAAGAGTAGAAGAGAAGATATTATGGATTCCTGTTTTCTACAATCTTCACTATGGCAGCATGTCAAAGTTATGAAATTGGTCAAGAACATGTGTCTATCTCAAACCAATGATTCAGGAACAGTTGCTGAACAACAATTTGCAAATTGGCTTTTGCAACTTGGTGAAGGTTGTATACTAGAAATTCCAGAAGATAGCAATGTTATTAAACTTCCTGATAACATCCTTCTTCCCTGCATACTATTCAGAATTTAGTTAATTTTGTATATCCTGATTTAACATCATCTTTAAATAATTTATACTATTTAATGGAGTATGCAATTCTGGCCCCAAAAAATATTGATGTAGATATGGTTAACGATTTTGTTATGAGTTTCTGCCCAGACAAAGCAACTGAATACTTAAGCACAGATTCTATTGATAAGACATCTGATGGCTATAATAACAACTTTGAAACCCTTTATCCGATTGAGTTTTTAAACAGTTTGAAGCTGAGTAGTATACCTTCCTACAAATTATCATTTAAAATTACTTCACTTATAATTCTTCTTTGTAATATTAATTCTACAAATGGTCTATGCAATAGAACACATTTGATCTGCCAAGCTTTTATGCCCAAAGTTATTGATGCTGAAGTTATTACAGAAAAACATGCTGAAGTTCGAGTTTTTCTCTTCTGAATTCTTTTTACATCCAATAATGAATTGCCTTTTGTTTTGCAATGCTTTCAATTTCCTGTGCAGCCTGCTTTTGCAATTACTATTAATAAGGCACAGGGTCAGACTCTAAACACAGTAAGAGTTTATCTACTAACTCCTGTCTTTTTTCATAATCAACTTTATGTTGCTTTCTCAAGAGTGACATCCAAAAATAATTTAAAGGTTTTGCTCACAGGTCATTACGCTGAAACTGGGTGTACAAAGAATATTGTATACCCAGAAGTTTTATTATGAATTTTTTCTTTTTTTTAGCGATTTAGAGTAATTAAGAAAGCTAAAAATTCCAAACTCTAAGTATTCGTTCAAATTTAATTTGCCATTTCAATTACTGCATTACGAATTATACATATTTTACTCACCTACATATTGTTGGGTTTGGAAGTTTGCGACTCTGTCGCTCCACAATTCAAAACCTCGCGTAATGTACGATAAGTAACCTTTTTGAAAGAGGGTGTTAGATTTGGCTTGTGGGTGATTAAGGCTTTCGGTTACTTTGGGTCAACGAATGCAAGTAGGGTAAGTCACATGTACAAGGGCTTGAATGAACAACGATATTTATAGGGGTTTATAGGGTTTATAACGGTATTAGTGTTAGGGTTTTATAATGAATGATATAATGTATTGGGACTTGTTTATTAATGAAGCCAACTGGACATGT